GGGGGGGTTGTTTCAGTTATTGTTTTCAGAGATAGAATAAAGCTAATTTCTTTACTATTTTCAGGTACCTTTATGTGTCATTGTGGGTTGGATAATTGGTGTGGATATGGATTTGGATTTCAGCTTGCTTGAAACTGGTTCTCTTGCTTTCTCAATCCTCCTCATTGCCTTCACCTTGCAGGTCCTTTTATCATTTGAGTTTAAGTTAATATTTACACAATTAGGTCACTTATTAGGCAATTACAGGCCGTCAAATCTCTTGATAAACATTGATCGGTAATCTGATAATAACTATAACTAACCTGTTATCAAAGGTTAAAATTCAATGACAACATAAAATTGTTTTACACAGTCTGCTTATATAACTTAAGTCGAAAAAATTATAAGAGCCTGTTTGGCTTAGCTGATTTAGAGTAGCTGATAAGCATTAGGTGCTGAAAAGTACTTGTGCTGAAGCTGATTTAAAAAATAAGCAGTTACGTGTTTGGATAAAAGTGCTGAAATTAATAATATGCAGCTAAAGAACCGGGTATACGAAGAGTTTTGTTTTAAAAAGAAGTATTCTAGGGATAGAATAGTAAATATTTTGGTCAAACTTAAACTGCTATAAGCTGAAATTTGATAAGGTGGGGGAGACCAACTTATGGCTTTTGGCTTATTTTTGGCTTATAAGCACTTAACTTATAAGCACTTTTAATTTTACCAAACGCGTAGATAAGCCAAAAAGTGCTTATAAGCCAGTTTGACCAGCTTATAAGCTTAGCCAAACACCCTCTAATACTGCAAAATGAACCAAAAATTTAAAGAGAACAAAACTTTACCAAAAATAGAAATATTGGGGTCCATGCTGATCCAAAACAAAAAGAAAATGTTCTGTTAATTTTGTCCAAACGTAGAGAACATGAATGACATGATATATTTGGATTATTCCACAAGAAAAAAATTGAAGATATCATGCTCAAATTATAGTGGAACTTAGCTATTTCTCTCCTCAGTTCAACTTTTCTTTCTTTTATATATATATATATATATATATATATATATATATATATAGAGAGAGGGTGGAATCCGCCACTGATGCTTGCATCAAGGTATGCTGCTTACCTCACACCCCCTTAGGGTGCGGCTCTTATCTTCCTCGGATCCTGCGTGAACGCGGAATATATATATATATATATTGTGTTTGTGTACAAAACATATTTTGAAGCAAAAAAAAGGAACTTTAATTCTTTTTGCAATTCTGACAGGATGGAACCTCACATTACATGAAAGGAGTGGTTTTATGTCTTGCCTATTGTGCCATTGCTGCTTGTTTCTTTTTCCATAAGCTTCCCATCAGTAAGTCCTTATAAATATGTTATACAAACCCCTGTAATATTTTTTATGCTATTAGTGCAATTTCACTACTAATTATTATGGATATTAGTTACCTTTAATTTCTTGGTGTATTTGGGTGTTGTTAAGATAATCATATAGGGAACAATTCATATGGGAGCTCGGCCACTTAACCACATGAATTCGTTCATCAGCGTGATCCATCAGAAAGAAATCGATATGTATCTGATGGAGTCTACACAATAAGTCGTCATCAACCAGATGTAATACTTCATTGCATCAATTTACATTTTTTCAATCAAGGTGAAGCTTTTCTTGGCCTTTTGCGCGCGATCGAATCTGGACTACTATCCGTTTCATGTTGATTAATTGGAGTCCTTAGTAAAAAATCTACAAGCAAAGTTGTATGTAAATATTTTCTCGTGTTCTTACTGGTTTTTGCATTAAAAAGTGGTGATTTTTGAGGAGAGAATAAGGAAATGCCACCCTTTCATTATGGTGTTATGTATTGCAATTATAAGTACTTACTTTTGTTGGGAAATAAAATTTCTGTTGCATTAAGAGTTCAAACTAACTTTTTATTTCCCTTTTCATTTGTAACTCTTTTATTCAATCATTAAGAGGATTGATTCTTCAAAGAGTTTAATTTATATATACCGTCAGTATAAAGGAATTTTTGCACTCCAGTTTTTGTACGTTTGTAAGAGTCCAGATTTGAGAGTAAGCGACACGAATCAATGGTGTTTCTTCTTTATTTCTTAATTATGAGAACATGAATTACTGTCTAATAATATTCTGCTCTATTTTCTGTGTTGTCGTGGATTCGTGGTGACATACAGGCTATTTGTTAAATAGCCGTGTGAAACAACCGGTTACTATTAGGGGTGTGCATTCGAATCGGTTTATCGATAAATCGAATCGATTATTTGTTATCGGCTTATCGATATCGGTTTATCCATTTATCGATTTCGATTTCGATTTCGAAATTTTCCTTATCGTGTTATCGATTTCGATTTCGATTTTGTCCTCTTCTGTAATCGATTTATCGATAAACCGCAAGATATATTAAAAAGACAAATATATCCTTATTCTATAATAACCTTTCCTTTACCCTAAGTCCCTAATCCTATTATTTCCTTTACCCATTAAGGGCCTTAATGGCATTTCTAGGGGCCGTAGTGTTTCTGTGGGTTGTACTACTACTATTTAATTAAAAAAAATCAATCTATGAAAAAAAGTCGGAATACGTAAGTTTGACCATTTTTCTTTTCTCAATATATCAATATTGTCTTTTGGATTAATTATCTTCCATTAATATCATCGTTAATGCCCACAGATATATGAGTGATTCAATTTCAACCACAGTCAAAGAATTAAAGAAATAACAAATTCATTACTTCAGCAAAGTAAAAAACAAATTCCCTAGACTAATACTATTTTTCTTAATCACTACAAAGAACCTAGTTGGGACCTATAGCACCGCTAGCTCCGTCTCTTGAGATACCTTCTTCCTCCTCTTCGGCGACGACGCCGACGACGAAGAAGAATGCTGCGGCGACAATGATGATCTTTTCGAATCAACTCTAATGGGTTCAGGTTCTCCAAAATTAACCCTCAACGGAAAATTTTCTTATTGGTGTAATCGATAACCGAATCGATAAGCCCAAAAAATCGATAAATCGAAATCGAAAAAATCGAATCCTTATTGAAACGATAACGATAAGCATATGTACAAATTGATAATCGATAAGTAATTATCGATAAGGGTCAAAATTGAATCGATAAACCGAATGCACACCCCTAGTTACTATGGCACTTCTACTGAAATTTGCAGTTTATGTCTTAGTTAAACATATTACCTTCTGCCCATATTATTTATATTTTAAAGTTTTTGCAGCCCCCTTAAGAAAGACATTTAGTAGCCTCATCATAAGAGTCGTTATCTAACATAGCAGTTATTATACACAGTTATACACATATTATACATGGATTATATGCTAGCTATTTTTAATTTAAAAGGTTGCGTGAACGGCTATTTAGATTAATTCTACTAATAATTACTTTTATGCCTGCTAGGGCTTCCTGCACTCAATCTCATATAGGAGACAACAACTCTATAGTTTCTAGTGGCTAGGGAGTAGCTATCTTTACAAAAAATAAACCATTACTTTGTTATGGTTAAATGACATTGCCTTTTTTCTTCTCTATCAGTCACATCATACTCAAATTCAAATACTCAAAAACAATTTATTTTAATATTTAAAATATACTTTCTTATAGCTGTTAAAGTAACTAGCTACCTCATGTTCCAGGCACTTTAGTGTATATTCTTTGTGTGTGTTAGATGACAGCTAAGAAAGAAATGAGAAGTGATGAATTAGGAAAATGTAGAATATGGTTAGTAATAAAGAACACGTGAGTCGCACATGCCATTTAATCAGACGGCTAGGATAAATCACCAAGATGAGGGGCGCAGATTCATTCTCAGCTCATTAGCGGTTTGAGTCAGCTGAAAGGCTTATAACCAATTTAGGCCTAGAGTCTTGCACAATTATGACCGGTACCATTTTGCTACTTTCTCTCTCTATCAATTCTCTCTTTCTCTCTCTACTTGCCTTCATTCTCTTCTTCAACCTCTCGTCTAATTCACTTCCATTAATTTACAGGTGTAATTGCTGGATTACAATGGAGATTAGAAGCCTTCTATTCTTAGCCAGTTTCATGCAATTCTTTACTATTAGCTTGTAAATTCTGTTCATATCATAAAATCTCCACTTTCGATTCCCAAATTTTCATTACAATTTACAAGTATATTACAATTGGTATCAGAGCTTCTTCCTGGCCAATCCAAAATGACAGGTGCAGAAACGAGATCTATAGCTACAGATGAATTTGTAAAAAAAACCAAAGTCACAACTTCAACAATATATGACCACAAATGATGCGAGAATAGAATATCTGGAAAAAAAAAATTGATTTGTTGTTGGAGAAGCTTCTTCCTCCGCTAGATGGGTTACTGGGTAGTGCTCCAATGGAAGTTCTTCCAAATGTTGATGCAAGCAATAGACCATGGATAGGGGAGATCAGGGAATTTCCAGAGGGCAGGAGTCAAGGTCACTCTTCTCAATCGGGAGTGTACGTACCATACTTTAAAGAGGGATCCCTTCACCTGGTTTAGGAAGTGTGAAAGGTTCTTTCAGCACAACAACATCACTGATCCACAACAAAAACTGGAGGAGGCAGTCTTTCACCTCAATGGTAAGGCTAAATCTTGGTTCTTTTCTTATCACATAAGTAAAGGAGTAGTTAGATAGTCAGACTTCACTACTAAAATTTGTCGTAGATTTGAAAGTGCATCTAACAGTAAGGTAAAGTAATTTGAGAATTCAAAAAGATAAAACAGGCATGAACTGTGAATGAGTATTTGGAGAGGTTTAAGGATCTTAAAACTTGGGTGCTAATTAGAAATCCTATTACACCAGGAGAATTTTTCCTAGAAATTTTTATTGAAGGGTTAAAGGAGAAAATTAGGCATAGAGTTAAGATATTGGACCTATATTCCTTGAACAAAGCAGTGGAGAAGGCTAGACACAAGGAAAATCTATTAGAGGCTATTACAAGGAAAGGGAAAACAATTGGGAAAAGAGGCTAGCTACAGGCTATTCTCCTCAGGTGACCAAGGGTCCAGTCAATGTCCCTAGTTACTCTAATAACAGACTCTTTGAAAGTAGAAAGGCACATGGATTGTGTTACAAGTGTGGGGGAAAATACTATCCAGGTCATCAGTGCAAACAGAGGCAGCTTAATGCTATATCTGCTTCTACTGAGGAGGATTCAAAGGAGATCTTGGAGCAAGAAGGAGCAATGGTAATCCCAGAAGAGGAAATAGTAGATGAGGCAATCAGCCTGAATGCATTATCAGGGACTTCCTTGAGGTGCCCAACACTATTAAGCTAAGGAGTGAGTCCAACAATAACTTCTTAACTATCATGTTGGATTCAAGGAGTACACATAGCTTCTTCGATATAGAGGCAAAAGGAGAATTGGATGTACCATTTTAGAAGTTATGGCCATGAGGGTCAGTGGACAATGGTAATTACCTAATGAGTTTGCACATTTGTCACAAATTCAAGTGAAAAATACAAGAGGAGGAGTTTGAAGATGCAGTCAAAATTATCACTAGATTGGGTGGTAATGACATCATACTAGGTGGTGACTGGATGAAAGGGTATGTCACGCCCCGACCTCGGGAAGCGTGACCGGCGCTCAACTGAGATAACCCGGCCGAGCAAGCCTGTTAGATGCCTTCTACCCAACCTTACCCATGAACCATTTAAGAATTAGTTGCAAGATATATACATGAGAAGAGTAAAGTGCTCCACATTTTTTTCCATTTCTCAGGGGATATTCATTTTACTATTTCCAAAAATATTATAAATTCATAATTACGAGGAAAAACAGGTTTGCCAAATACCAACGCTTCTAGTTCATTTTTCAACATTGTACACCACCCACAACATGTCTACGGAGCCTCTAAGTACAATAGAAGAGTAGTATGGAAGTGCCGGCGATAAGGCCCTGGCTATACCCCAAAACACAGAGTACAACATTAAGTGACATCAGGCCCGGAATAGAGTAGAGCTCCCCGAAACCTGCTGAATAGGGAGTAACTACTAACGAGGACCAAAGATACTCGATGATGAACCACCTGCATTCATTGAAGATGCAGCGCCCCTGGCAAAAGGGACGTTAGTACATATAGAATAGTACTAGTATATAAAGCTAAATATACTTTTTCAAAATAGAATGCCAATATAAAAAGGGAAAATCATGGAAACAACAAGCAACGATCAATGATATCCATAAAATGTAACTATTTTCCAAAATACGAGGATAATATTATGAAGATGATAACCATAATATTACGATAATATTATTTTTGGTTGGGAGATCTTTAGTATCGATATACCACCGTGAATTTAGCACGGAGTCCGATCACGGCCCGATCGGCTAAGCCCTCTCATTCGAAGACATCAACCACAATCACAATTACTATCTCAGTACCGATATACCATCGTGAATTTAGCACGGAGTCCGATCACGGTCTGATTGGCTAAGCCATCTCACTGGAGATATCCAATCACAATACCACCGTACTTTTAGCACGGAGTCCGATTTCATCCCGATCGGCTAAGCCGTCTCACTAGGGACATCCAATCACAATCATAACACTCGATATCGGCCCGATCGGCTAAGCCTTTTCACCATAATGTCATGTGGGTCGACATCATATTCTGCTAGCAATCATCTCATCCCTAATAAGGGGAATAATCTCATCACATCAATCTCATCCCAATTAAGGGGAATGATTTTATCACACCAATCTCATCCCAATTAAGGGGATATTTTATCCCATCAATACAGGGATTTACCCCACGTATAGTTTCGGGGTTAGGTTATTTCAACCTACCCTTCCTCGATGACTAGCGATACTCCCAAAAATATTTTTGATTTTCATACAAGGGAAACAGAAATACAATTGCATTTACCTCATAACCTTTCACCCCGTATTTA